TGCGCAAGACATAGCGAAAGTTGTGTGGAAATCGAACTTTTTCCAACACCACCTTTTCCGGATAAAACCAGTATAATATGTTTTACATTTCCAAGTTGTATAGACATTATGAAAGCTCGAAAATCAAGATTGTTTTAAAAAATAAATTTTTATATAATCTCCTAAATGATGTTACACACATCAGGTATCTGATATTATCGATGTTTTGGTCTTGGACTTCTTATATTAGACTGCTTATATTAATGTTCATACACACATATATATTATGAATATTAAACCTCAAAAATACTTTTTCATCGTTAATTCTACTCTTAAAAAAGTTGGGTTCCAGTTTTTATGGATGAAGATCAAAAATTATGTTGCATGTCAATTGGATTTTTACTTCAAAAGAAAGATGATTCTGTTGTTTGGCGTGGTCCAAAAAAAAATGGTTAGTATTAATGGAGATTAGAATTAACTATTACATATTAAGGTTATATATTTCATGACTGATTTCTATTATTATTATAGCAATGATTAAGCAATTTCTGTCGGATGTTTGTTGGGGTGAATTGGATTACCTAATTATCGATACACCACCAGGTATGCTCTTAAATAGTAATATTATACTTTTACAAGTACTGTATTATTATTATTATTATTATTTTTAGGTACTTCAGATGAACATTTATCCGTTGTGGAATACTTGAAAGATGCTAATCCTGAAGGTGCTATCCTTGTGACTACCCCACAGGTTTATAAATTTACACATTTCATTATGAATTCCTAAAAAAATAAAAAAATTTTAATATTTAAATTTTTTTCATAGGCGGTTGCATTAGCAGATGTGCGTAAAGAATTAAATTTTTGCAAGAAAGTGAATTTACCTATATTAGGTGTTATTGAAAATATGAGTGGATTTATATGTCCACATTGTGAGGTTAATAATAGTTCCTTTTTTTCCAGTTCGGTTTTTTAGTTACTTCTCGTTTAATTAATCTAATCATATGATTTCTTGATTATTATTAATTAGGAATGTACGAATTTGTTCTCAACTGGTGGTGGTGAAACAATGGCTCATGAATTTGGGGTAGAATTTTTAGGTGAGTTTTTTTGACCCTAATTACAAACATTTAATTAAAGCATTAATTGCAAGAATTTAATGTAATTTCAAGCATTTAAATTGCAAGCTCTTAATTACGGTCATTTAACTTTTTTTTCTTTTAAATAGGGCGTGTTCCAATTGATCCGTCCTTGACTCTCATAGTAGAAAATCAAGATCCTTCACCTGATAATGATTTGATTAAAAGATACTCTGCTTCAAATTTGTTTAAAGTGTTGAGTAATATCACTGACAAGATTATTAAAAAAGTTTCTTTAAAAACTTAATCTTGTATTGAAATTAATTCTAAATTAGATTTGTATATATTTATTACTGTATCTAACGTTATTTTATTTACAGTATCGGTATATACAATATTTAAAAAAATTCTGCTCACGTGTATTATATGCATGCGGCATTACACATATTCTAGTAAAATCGTTTACTCCATGTAAATGAGTAAATCTGTGTTACCATGTAAATCTGTGATCAATTCGGCCAAAATTATGTAACATTGTTCCTGTGAATTATTACCTAAATTATGGGGTCTCAATTCCGAACCTCAAATTTTCCGTTCATAGAGCAGTGGCATTTCTTTGGACAGGTCGGAATAGTTGAGAAACCATATTTCATTATATAAAGACAAGCTAAATCCTCAATACAATGGTAACCTCACTATACATCTATCCGGTCTTAAGAAATCTTTGTTGGCACAATGAGCGATAGAGAAACGATTGGTAATAACGGTGCGGATGACGACTTGTCACTTCCGAAAGGTTGGCTTTTTGTTTACTCTTTAATTTCCTTTAACCTTCTTCGTCTTTATTTTTATTTTTTTTTGTTTATTAATGTTTATTAAACTAACTTTTCTTCTTTAATAAAGCTACCGTCACAAAACTTATTACAGAAATGTTACCGCCTGATATTAATTGTGCTAAGGATACCCGTGATTTACTAATAGATTGTTGTGTCGGTAAGTGTGGCTACGCATTTCGAACCTTTGTAAAAAAAATTTTTTAAAATATCTTTTTGTTTTTTATAATAATAACTTTCAAAATTTTTTTTTTTATTATTACTATTATTACTCTTCTTTTATATATATAGAATTTATTCACTTGATCGCTTCTGAAGCGAACGATATATGTGAAAAAGACGCTAAAAAAACGATTGCTGCGGAACATGTCATTGATGCCCTCAAGGTATTTTAATTACTTTCTTTGGTTTTTCCTTGGTCTATTATATACAATTATAAAAATTAAATGTTAATTAATTATTAATTAATCTTATAGCATTTGGGTTTTGAGAATTATCTTAGTGAAGTACAAGAAGTCTTAAAGGAACATAAAAAACTGCAAAAAGTATGTTTTATAAAAAATAAATAAATTATGTTAACGCTTTTTTTCTTTCAATTTTTTATCAATTTTTATCAATTTTAATCTTTAATACTTTTTTTATTTCTTATTTTTAGGATCGTGATAAGAAAAGTTCTAGATTAGAAAATTCCGGAATGACTGAAGAAGAATTATTGAGGCAACAAGAACTCTTGTTCGCACAATCACGTCTTAAATATCAGGCTCAACAGCAAAATTAAATTGTATTATTTTAGAATACACATATGAGAATAGGTCTCTCAGATACATAGCATATTATTATACTTCAGTATTCATTCCTCATTTTGAACTATAAAATTCTTATATCTTTACATTCTTATCAATTCACTAATTCCATAGTATTCAAATTTTTTCATAAAACTAAAATATTCATTTTATGTTTGTTTATTCATATTTATCGTATGATAAAAGTAAACATGTCAATAGCGATAAAAGAATTTCGTTTTTTTTTAATGACTTCTTAGCTTAGTAATCCATTCGTTGTATGTTAATGTAAATCTTGTTTATTGTTTTTTCCCAAAAATCTATTTCTTGATGTCCCTCTTAGCATAAATGCTAATGATCTCATGATATTGATCATTCGGTCTTTGCTCCACTTTAATCTCCTGATCCTATTTATAGTGCACCATGTTTACTATAAATAAAAGTACCAAACAACTTTGATATTTGCCCGTTAGTTATTCAATTCAATGCATGTAATTGTCAAATAACGGCTATATTGATCAAAGTGGTCTTTAGCCTCCAAACCATAATCATATGAGTGCTGCCAAGGGAAAAAGGCCGATCGAACTTTCAATATATTTTGTATACAGTTAACCATCTATGAAAAGTTTATTACGGTGATAAATTTTCCATAGACGGCTAACTGTACACAAAATATATTAAAAGTCCGATCGGCCTTTTTCCCTTGGCAGCACTCATATTCAAAGTACATAATGTCTCAGTTTTTAGGTTTTTAATATCATTGGCCTAACTACCATCTAAGATCTAAGATTAACTTCATTCAACAGTCAGTTTACTCTCGAGTTTAGATCTTACGTTCTCACCTGTGTGAATATTCTTGAATTTCTGAACTAGAAAGAACGCGAATAAATCCTTATTAACAATACTACGTATTAAAATTCATTTATTAATTTAATAGATCTACTTATCTTTTTAAGGAATTCATTCTAATTTCGCCGAATGCTTGAATGGGGTGAACAATAGAATATGTAAGGCAGGCCATAACGAAACAGAGTTGCATTTCCCTAACCAAAAACGATTACTTATAACCCCTTTAATTGCGACACTTTTCGCTATACTTTTACGAAACTTTTTGTTATTATTTTACAATTTTTCATTATTTTTCTTTAATCGATTTTTTCATGCAAAATAATTCGAACCGCATCTTATCTTCTACACATTCACGTGTTCATATGCGTTTCATGTTCTCGTGACTGAATTCATCAGGCAAACGTTGGCACCGCCTTATTGCTGTATAAGTTAATATATACCAAATTTTATTTGTTTGATTTTTTAAATATACTTACTGTATGTGGTGAAAAAAGGGTGGCTAAAACTAATAATTATTTAAATTGACTAAATATAAAATGCTCTTACAAATAATTATTACTGTATAAAAAGCAATTATACTGTATATACTGTATTTACATAGCTAATACTGTATAAAACAATCGTAAAGTTTATACTACTGTATATATATTGATATAGAATTTTACAAGTACGTATAATATTTTAAAAATCTTTTTAAATACAGTATATATAATATACTGTTTAATTAATTAATACAAAAATTTATTATACAGTATATACTGTAATTTATTTAAATTTATATTAAAAATAAAGCTAGATTAATTTTTTAATTCTAATAATATAAAAAAATTTAATATTTAGATTTTATTTTTATTTTTAAAAAATTTTATATAAAAATTTTCAAAAATCATATATTGTATCTGTAATGTTTAATATTAAATAATTTTTGTTTATAAGTTAAAAAATTAATATATTTGTAGTATAGTTACTACAGTATAACTATATTTTGTCTTTGTTGTATAACTAAACTAAACAAAAATACTTTTTTTAAAATTTTATACTAACTTTAATTCTAACTTATAACTCTAATTCTAATTTTAACTTTAATTTTAACTTAATATTAATATAATTATTAAATTTTTTTATAAAAAAAAACTATATTAATATAGTCTAACCTTGATATAATCATTAGCTTAAAAAACAAAAATCTGGTAATTATAAAAAGTTGTAATTATATAAAAATCAAATTTGTATGTTTTATATATATTAGCTTAAGTTGAAAAATAGTATAATTATATCAAGTTGTAACTATAATGAAATTAGATTGTAATATAGTTATAAAATTTTATTTATAACTTATATAGCTAAAAATAAATTAATTTATAAATTAAAATAATTTTTATTAAAACAAAAACTAAATTTTAATTAAAATTATTAATTAAAATTAAAAGCTAAAATAAAACAAAAGTTTATCTTAAATTTTATAAATAAATTTTCAAATTACTATATTTTTGTATAATAATACTCATTTATATATTATTTTAAATATATATCTATTATTTCAAATATATATATAAGTATTTTTTTTTTTTTATATGAGTGGTCATGCTATACTTTATTAAAAGCGAAAATAATTACATATACAAATGCTATACTATTTCTGATACTATGATATGTATCTTATTAATTTAAAGTACAACTCATCCGGTTACCATAGGTATCTATATGTGACCTGCAAGTCAAAATTTGTTTCAATGCTTGATTAGATCTTTTGGTTCTTTCAAGAAAATTATTAACTGGTTTTTGTAGCTCATTATGACTATATCTTTTTCTTTAAATTTTTTTCTACCTAGATCTTGGCAAAAAGATTTTTCCAAACTATTTCTACAATAAAGCAAATAAAAAATAAACTAAAATAAGAAGAGAAAAGGATAAAAGAAGAAAAAAAAAGAGAATAACTGCAAAAAAGAGGATATGCTATACAACCTAAATGAATAACCTAAATATAAAAAATAAAGATGAAAAAAACAAAAGAAAAAAAGGAAGACATAATATACAAATAAAAAGGGTACACTATTATAACCTGTACAAGATTAAAAAATTATATACTAAATTGCAACTTTTAATATATCTCTATTATAAAGCTTCGCCTTAATATTCAGGGTTCTTTTTAAACATGTAACTAATATTGGATATCTCCTAGATAGGCACTGGATCCATTTTATATCATAGCACTATATTAATCAATAAAACAAACATGTAGTTGCATTTTACTGAGTACATCCCAATTAGGTAAGTGTAAACAATACTGATCTTTTGGAGGAGTAAACTTTTTTACACACTTTTTGATAAAATTTTTGAAGGACTAGAAGGCAGTAAAAGAGTAAGAAAATGTATAAAAATTTTAAATATTAAAGAGAGTTGTTCACTAGCAAAAAATCTACTATATTCAACATAGAGCCAGGTACTTCTTCTTCAGTAAGTGATAAACTCTAAGCCTGTTGGCAAGTAGTATATGAGAACTACTTCTAAATAACAAGTGCTATCTCTGCAGTAAGTGATAAACTCTGAGACTATCAGCAGGTAGCATATGAGAACTATTTCTAAATGATAGATGCTGTCTTATGGTTTGACCTCAGAACTCAGTTTTGTATTATTATATACTAGTCTTTTGTTTTTTGTAAGTTGATTTTTTCTCTAAAATTTGGTATCAAGTAATCATCAGCTATGAATATGTATATAAATATTATTTTAAAACAATTAAAAAATTTTATATAATTCTTATATAAAAAATAGAAAATTTATTAATTTACACATAGTGTTTATATATAAGTATAATTTATTGAATAACAAATATTATATAACATGTCAATCAAAACAATTTTAATAAATAAAAAATTAAACATTGCTTATAATTAGAGTAAGAGTGGGTTTGAAATTGAAGCAAGAGTTAGTTTATACCAAAAATTTCTAAGAAATTTTTTTTGTTAGAAGCCAAAAGATGGTTTCATAATCAAAATTTTGAGATATCAATTGGTTTTTATACTACCTATATATATACATATTGTGTACAAATAGAAATTCTCTAAAAAATAAACAAACAAAAACTAGATTTAGTATTAAGTAATTTTTCTTCAAGGTTTAACAAAAGTTGTTCTAAAAAACAATTTTGTTAAAATTTGAAAATTTATTTAATACTAAATCTAGTTTTAAAATATTTTAAATTTTAATATAAATAAATATATTTTACTATAAAATATATACTATTTTAAGATATATATAAATATTATCTCAAAACTATAAATAGATAAGAGTAGTGCTTGGCACAATCAAACAAAAATTTGATAGTCAAATACTTGTTAATACTTATGTTTAAATTGGATATTAAATGTTTGCAGCTTAATTAAAGCTAAATCTATACTATTAGTTAATCTGCAATTATTTGATGTCTAACTTAATTACAAGTATTAACAAGTATTTGACTGTCAAATTTTTGTTTGATT